TTCAAAACCAAACACCTCCGCAAAATCGAGCCAAGCGCAAATACTAAAGGCATTCGCATAATTATAAGAAACATTATACTTACGATTATACTTTTACAGAAAATAACGAATTAATGTTAGTTAATTGATAGAATCTAAAAGTACATCATTTGTGTGGAGTCCTTTCTTCACCACAGAATACACGCATATATTTGGAAAGTTGAACATTTTTGATGTTCAACCATATAACTCGTAGATTGCCTGTCACCTCGAGTACAATGCTTTACATCGGCTCACAGTTAGGAATGTATTAGAACATGCCAGACAAACCCCATAAATACCACACATTTAAATAGCAGATGAAAAGAAAATAAAAAAAAATAAGAAAGAAGATCACACAACCAAACATTTCTGTAATATTATTAACGTTTGCTGTATGTAATCGATCAAATGTTATTTGGTTAGAAAAAGAACAATTATTCGAACTTTTAAAAAATGCGTATAGTATAATGTCTTCCGCTTGTCTACATCTTATCTGAGAACGGACGACCTTGACACTAATGGTATCTAGTAGTTCGAATGGGACGCAAAATCGAGGTCCCGTGCACCATTACTAGTTATGATTCGAAACAAGAGTAGGCCGTAGCGCCGGTTCCCGGGAAAATGTATCTCCTGGCAAATTGTATGGCATACGCCCATTTTCATTAGCCTAGTCAGTATAAAACACTAGGTCGTTCATTTCTTATCTGGACATTTGCTGCAGTGTATGCTGTATTCCTGTATCATTTGTCCTGTTTGTATGTTCTTGTACTGCTCTACAAGAATGTCTAATAGATTCGGATGACACTTTTCTGCAAAGCATCCTATCAATGATTTCCTTTCGGTAATTTTCATGTTGCCAAAAATAAACAAATGGGTTAATGAGGCTGTTCATAATGTAAATGGTTGCAAGCACGTAGTAAGTTGTCGTCGCCCATGTTTGTTTCATAAATACTGTAGCATCAGGAACAAACAGGCGAGCAGAAAGTATAAAGATACTCATCGGAACATACGAAATCCCAAAAAAGGTAGCAATGATGGCGACAGTTACATGGGTTCGCCTTTCTGTCTTTGCCAAGTTACGTCTTCTCCGTCCATCTTGGGATTCGTCTACAATCACTTCTCCTATACGACGGGTGTGGATTTTTATTACTTTTCCGATATAAATATAGATCCCCATGATGATGATGAAGGTAAAACAAGCAGTGAAGCTTGAGTAAATGTACCCAAAAGCATTTCCAGACACTATATGCAGGCATTTGTCCTGACTTCCGAATCCGCCAGAAAAAGCTGCTATAGTGGAAACAACCGAAAACAGCCAAATAATTATAACACACGACAGCAATTTCTTCCATGTAACTACTTGGTAAAAGTTCATGACCATGTTGATACACAAAAATCGTTCCAGTGCTAGTAATAAATGTGTATAAATGGTGACCATATGCACCATGTGGCCACAATACATTCGGATATTACATATGATGTGGTCAACTTTATATACATATGGAATGACTCTTTCTATCAACAATAGAAAACCCAGCAGAGTATCAGAAACCACAAGAGAGGTATAAAGAACTTTCAGCTTTGGTAGTAGCGATCTACTCCTAAGAATAGCAACCAGAGATATCAGATTGAGTAAGGATACGACACTGCCCAAAACGATCTGGATAAATATTTGTGCTCTGTCTGCAGTTGAAAACTCTTCCATGTTTAGATTATCAAAGACGTGTACAGTACAAGAGACTTGTATTGTTTTCAACTCGTAACAGTTTTCCACGTCTGAACTCTAGCAAACTACAGGTATAGTAGAGTGTTCAACTTGTTTATAGTCTAGAATCCGTAATCTGTATCTATTAAATTGGGATGAGGTTTTCTTAATGAAACATTATCATTATTGAACACTTGTATCTTAATTGTAAAAACACCCTTAATATTATCAATATCGCCAACGATAAACCTCGAACAATTAGATTCCCGTTTATCCGAATCATTCCCACGCGAACTATCACTGATGGTAGTTTAAATAAATATTACAATATTATCGTGTACATGATTGACCTTGTGTATAATTATCTAAATGGTAAATAGTTAGTTTGACTCTCATCAAAATTGACAAATATTATTGTAAATAACATATAATACTCAGTTAAGACCTTTGGAAGCAGGGAAGTCACGTTGGGAGTGTTAATAAAGTCATCACCAATCACCTCCGTGTGTCAGAAGTGTTTACTGGGTCCGCCTATCAATAAACCAAAGCTCGGGCATAACAATGATCCAGGGTTTACGAGAGTTCAGTTATCAGTTTTCCCGGATTCCACCTCCAGCGTTAAGGATGTTTGGTTGGGCATAGATGGCAATGTTAGGGTATACGCTGACATTGTTATTAAGAATAACTGGAATTGGCCCAGTAAAATTTAATAGGCTGATCATAAATACATGAATATTATTGATGTCCGAACTTGTGCTAATGACTGCGGTAATGAATAGATATCTTTAAACAGAGAGAGAAATGGGTTTAACGTCCACTCGACACAAACCAGGTCATTTCGGGACTAACATATTGTTCAATTTTATTTCAATAATTCGCTTGCGCGTAGGGGTCTTTAGCAGTGGGAGGAAACGGGGGGGGGGGGCAGAGAAAACCCACGAGGTTGGACAGGCAACCCTACTCCTTGTCACGTACAACCGGGGAAACGACACCACGCCAGTTGACTCAATGACAAACCTCATGATACAGCGCGCGCGTGCTAACCATTCAGCCATCCAACCCTCCGGATATCTTTAGGTCTCATCAAAATCTGAATGAATGAATGAATAAAATATGAACGTTCCAGTGGGCTAATGAATACTGTGTAGTGTAGAAGGCGAAGCCACGTCGGAAAATCCAGAGGAACAGTCTCGGCCAACATCTGGAGCGAACCAGAGACCTCCTTGTTAGCGAGCCAGCGACTTATCAACTGAGCCACCGTGGCTCCCTATATCAAAACATATTCACTAGACGTAAAATTGTTATTTTTATAACATATGAATCAATCAGATTGCCGACAAGAAAAGAAATGTTACAGATATGCAACTGTTTGCAATGCTTTGGGCGCTATTGACAAAAAAAAAACGCTGTTCTCGGTCTTTGTAGGTTCTTGTTGGAGATTAGTATATTAAGCCGAATGCCAAGATTCGAATACAAAACGATGAATTACATGAAACAGGGCATTACCTCTTGTGATTTCCGGTGTTTATGGATAGACGTGTGCAATGATTATGCCATAATATCGCGGCATATTGACAATATCGGAAGAGCTCGAGTTCACAAAGCATTCTCAGACTTAAGAATTTATAAAAAAAAATTGTTCGCCTTATTTTAAATAAAATATAGCCGTTTATGAAACTTTTGTAGTTTTAATGTATCAAACACACCAATAAAAAACTATGTGCAAAGTTGTGCGTTTCTCATAAACAGTGATTAAAAGTTGAGCAAATTCTTAACTAAAATCTCAGAATGCTTTGTGAACTATGGGCCTGATTAACTAAGCCTTTAATGCGATACAATTGACATCTTTATTATTTATTCATAGCCAGTTCATCATTCCATATATATATACATTATCAGCAGAAGCCAGGGTACCAAGCACCACCATTTCTCTCGGCAACCTTTTTGGCTTTTGGATCACTAGGCGGATATTTGGCTGGCACCAGCCATTCTCTATATTGATTAATCTTTGCTGTCATATTTGCTACTATATGGGGATACTGAACTGATATTTCATGGTATTCATTTGGATCATCTGGAAACAAAAGTGAGGGAAATATTTAATACGGCGCACCTGATATTGAATAAGCTTAATGGATGTACACTGTACATGCAATTCCAGGATCAACATATCATATTTTCAATTATGCCTAAGCTTACTACTGATCCGGGGAGACATGAAATTTGAATTGATTATAGAATTACAATTCATGGTAAAATATTACACAAACATTACACAAAGCCTTAGGTTAGAGCTAAACAAATTTTTTATTTTTTTTTTGTGGCCAAATGCCAAACCCAATTTCTATAGCATCGTGTTAATGCCTGAATGTTTGACTTAAGGAATATCCCTAACTATTTTGCCTTTATACTTATTACACTGTAAGGACCTCTTACTCAAAACATTTGTTTTTGAATGTCGTAGCGTTTGAAGACAAAATGTTTAATTACCAGCTATATTGAATAATTGTACTGGATAGTCACCCTCAGAATAAATAAGGTTATAAAGGGGCGTATCCTCTGTATCATTCATAGGTTTGTACCAACCGTCCATCAGCCCTGGGTATCCAAGAAATAACTTCCAATCACCATCTCTGTTCATGTTCATAAAACAAATTATTTGATATGAGGCCATGATAGATTCATTGTATATCAAACAGTTAACTGTCGTAAATCCCAATTTAGTGGTATGGATTATTCGAAATCAAAATGCCCTTTAGGGGGATTAGGTGGTCGAGTGGTCTCGTGTGTACGTTTTAGATCATAAGGCCCGTCATTGAGTCAAGTGAGGTGGTTTCGATTTCAAGCTTGTATATTCGTGGGTTTTCTCCGGTTTCATCTCACTGTCAAATACTCCTACGTGCGAGTAAATTATTGACAGTTGCGAGTGGATCGTTTTATACGTTTACAAAGTAGAATCAGTAGCAGTCAAGAAACTGAATCTCAACTATTTCAAGCCATTCAAACCCAATTATATTTTCGAGTCGGACGTGGTAGGTTTAGTTCGTCCTCTTTGACCCGTCACAGTTTTGTTAGTCGTCTTTTCAGTGACATCAAATAATGCATAAAACCGTGTTAGTAGTCGACACTGCACTTCTAGTCTGAAAGCTAAAAAAACTTAACCTAGGCCTAAATGTTTCCACATTTTAATCGTGTATCCACATATTTCAATATATTTCGATTTTAGATCAGTGGGGATTTAAAAAATAATGCATTATTCTAAATACTAAGCAGCTCAGAATATCAAACAAATACCATACCGCATTGCAGCATGCCCTTGTGTTGGAATATAAAAATCATCTAAATTATAAATAAATTCTGTTCTTTTAGAAGGTTGATTTAGTCTAATTGAATCCCATTGGTTGATTCCATCTATACCGGGTACTGTAATTAAAGTTACATTCACGTTTTTTTTGTGATTTGTACAGAATGAGTTGTTTTGAAATAGGAGCTGTACAGATGGTCCCTCGAGTCTTTCACAATAAGACCAGAAAGCAAAACATCCAAGGCTATACATATGAAGGAAATAATAAACAACCAAAAGAAGGTTGTTTTGTGAACTTTAAAAAAAGACTCCATAAGTTATCAGATTTGTTATCACATTTTGTTTTAGTTTCTTACAAACGGCGGAATGGAGTTTACCTTGCTCACCACCTGCTGCCGCAATCAAAGTCGGCATCCAGTCAACAGCATGAATTAAGCTATAAAAAGAAAGAAAAATAAAACATTATAATAGGCCAGTTATTTCTTTTTATTTCCTAATTATAACTAATCGCACTTTAACCTTCGTGAACATATCACACTTTAATCGCCATGAACATATAATTGCACTGAAACCGCCATGAACACATACTAACACTGTAACCGCCATGAAACATGTAATTACACTTAAACCGCCAAGAACATAATCACACTGTAACGTCATGAACATTATCACACTTTAATCGTCTTGAACATATATTCACTCTTTCTTTCCGTCATGAACATATACTCACACTGTAACTGCCATGAACATATACACACACTGTAACCGCTATGAACATATTATTAAACTTAAACCGCCATGAACATATAATCACACTGTAATGTCATGAACGGATAATCACATTGTAACTGTCATGAACATATATATACTCACACTTTAGCAACCATGAACATTTTTCATGAAATATGAAGGGAAATCATCATTGTCACAATATGTTTTAGTACCTACCCACTGTATGTAATACCTATCTTTTGCAATCCTGCACCAGTCATAAAAGATGTTCCTCTTGTCCCACCTTCCCACAAGCTATGTTTTCCTCCCCGTAAGGGCCAGTTATTTCCATAATACAATAATTCGGCACCATTCTGAAAACAAGATAACCAGAACTTATGCCAGTTTACCAACTATATGCATTGTCAACTTCTAGTACTATCAACAAAAACATTGAAAACATGACGTGGGTATGCAGATCTGTGCTCCGAATCCTTTAGCACAGGACAAGTTAATTTATATTTCACGGTACAGTTTTAATATTTCATTTGATTTTGATTAGTTGACATTTATCTAATAAATTCTGGTTTGCCCTCGTCTATGGAAGTAAATTTAATAAAACAATAAACAATACAAAATTAGATATGTAATTATCACACTATGATCACTAGTTGTAGCTTAACGACACGATGGCTTGGACTTGGATCCCAGACCAGGTGGTATTTGGCAGAAGGTTACCTAGGGTCAGTGATTCTAACCACTGCTGGGAAAACATATTTTCGCAACAACAAATGGGTGTGTAAGTAGGTACTTTACTTACATCAGCAGTAAATAATATAAGTGTATCTTCATATAGTCCTTTATCTTTAAGTGTTTGTGTTATATTACCAATAGCTTCATCTAATATAGTTACCATACCTAAATGGAACATAAATAATCAGTTTAAAAGACTACCGAAACCCGTCTAATATGTTGTATACAATTCAAGTGTTGCCTAACTTGCCTATATTTGAAAGTACTTAACGCAACAGAATCTACACCATCCTTCAAAATATGTTTGGCCAAAGGTAATAAATCAACTGACATAAAGGCTCGATATTTTGTTGAAAGATATACCTGTTTTTCTTGTTTAGAATACAATGTTTTAGTTTTTTATGTGTAGTAAATATAAGTTTACCATACCAGAAAAATATTTTCTTCCATGATTCATAACATGTGGATACATATTTGCATACTTTTCAGGAACCTGTAAAACAAAGTTTTAAAAATTGATCAAAATGGTGTTTAATACTTGTATCTACTTACGTATACAAAATTATCTATCTGTTGATTGCAATCCGTCATGTTTTAAGTGTCCTTACCTTAAATTGGGTAATGGTCATTTAAAAATATTAGCTTACCTCTATTGGTTCATGCACATTCTGGAATGGTAAATACAGGAATAACGGTTGTTCTGCATTATGATTGGCGATTATCTCTTGAGCTCTCTCAGTGAAAAAGTACTAAATATAGACAGAAACCATATAATTAATATAATCATACATCATAATGTATATGTATATGGTACTGTATTTGAATTTTGTGAATAAACATTTTACAAGAAAAAAAAAGCCAGACGAAATAGACGCCCTGATCGGCAGGCAGTAATGATTACCTATAAAAGTTTCTTGTGGATGGGTGGGAGGGGGCACATTTCCCGGATCGGACCTTTTGTCAGCATCATTATCATTATTCTTACCGTTGAATATTTTCCATTAAAATCCCAAGCTGTTGTTTCATTGTCATGCAGATCGTAAAACCCAGCTGAAATAAAAACAATCAACAATTTACAGGTGATGTAAGAAAATACAAATCATTGAGGATCTTTGTAAAAGAGACCTGCAAAATGATTTATACATTGTGTATTGAATTTATATATAATTAGTTAATATATATATATGGCGGGGTGCTAATCACCGGGTCCACTCTGTGATCCACAACTTTTGATGTGATTTTCATTTTAATCGTTTGAATACCAGTAATTGACAAAACTCCTACCAACGTTATGCTTGTAATAGTCCTCAGCTGCGTTGTAGTAACCTAAATAAGAATCAAAACCACGATAGGTTGGCGTACAGTTCCAGTTACAGAATCCAAGGTGCCATCTGAAGTTAACAAAGTAGGAATTGATAAATAGTGTGTTGTCTATAATAATGAACACTGAACTCGGCATGCCATACAACCAAATGTGCATGCGATAACAATCTATTCAGTTATAGTCAATAAACACGGTCATCCGAACTTTCTGTAATCAGACTTTTGTTTCATAGTGATAACCATCCTTCCCAATACCCCTCTCCCTCCCTCGACGTTTACCCATGACTAGACAAATTGAACATTCTTACAATAGAACATCGACATATCTCTAAGTATATTTATTTATAAAATTATGTTAAAACAATGCCATGATTACTTATTTGACCTCTTACGTTATTATGAAACTCCTTACAATCATCTTAAGAATAAACTTACTATTCTCAAGCCAGTATATCAAAAGTATTATACGCTTTAATGGGTCCAAACTCTGGAATTCGTTGTCAGCCTCTTTAAAAACTTTAAATAACTTGAATCTTTTCAGGAAAAAACTTGTATATATTTATTTGTATATTTATTGTAAATTATTGTGGTGTGTTATTTAATTTATTAGCTTTTCCATTTGTATTATATTTCCTACGAAGGGCAGGATGTTAGAAAGGCTATTATAGCCTAATCGTCAACCCTTCTTAAATAAAGTCATTATTATTATTATTATCCCTACATCAAAATGATTGTCATTGAAAGCATTATCATTATTGTCGTTGATGCAGAAAGGAGTTAATCAATGTCCGCATACTTGGTGTAGATGATACTGTGATGCTTATCGTGCATAGCAGTGCCGTGGTTTCGTCTCTGATCTTCCTCAAAGGGGTTAGCATTCATTCTGCCGTTGAGATATAATACTATTATGATACATTACTATTTAAGAACCGTTTTAGTTGTTAAAGAAACGTATTTATTATAATTACTTACTTCCCTATCATATGAGTAGCATATCCAGATTTTTTCATCTGTTGGGGTAATATAGTTAGATTTAAAGGAAGACAGACATTTTGGTAAGCTCCAATCACATAGTGCTGTAATAGAGGGTAAGTTTTAGTGGTGGCCGCGGGCTTTCTTGTACATTCGAAAACGGGCCCGTCTGTTTATGAATGTGACAAGAATTACGCGGAGAAGGCCTCTCGTATGTGGACTGAAATATATGGAGATGGTTTATGTTGTGTAAATCAGAATATCATATTTCTGGCGAAAGCACGTGCAATCTCAATGGCGTTTCTGTCAAATATGTCGAAGTTACAGCTTGCCAATAAATTACAGAAACCTTTATTACACATTCGTAGAGAAAATTGAATAATTAATCAGTTAGTGTGTATAAATTCCGCCATTAAGCATTTCATCTATCTATATTAATATTCAAATCACTGACTGTCCTTTAAACATGTGTATTCAAATTAGTTGGTAAGTCCTTGGTGACTAGTATCAATGATGGCGCTAAGATTTAATGCATTAATAGCCTAAATATCACATTTATTACGAGAAATGTTGAGAAATAACACTATTGACAGAAAACCATCGAATAAATCAATTGAAACAATTATCATTTAGCTTATAGCGTGTTAAACTGTTGTGTTATAAAATGAAAAAACTTGCATGTTCATCCTTATGAAAGCTCGATTGCTTCTCTTCGCACTCCATAATCGCTATGATTGCCAATATATGAACAAAAGGCAGACAAAATAGATGAGTAAAGTTAATATGTTACCTGCAGTCCAGTCTTGAATGGATAGACACCGGACATAAAGGCCGACCTAGAACTTATGAAGAACAAACATTATTTTGAATAATTTATCAATTAAAATACCACTCATGAAATATTGTATTCTAATACTTAAAACCAATTATGTACTTCATGCTAAGTTATAAACAACTGCGAAGGTAGAATTACTGAGGAATTGTGAACCAGAGTTAAAACCATCACAAGTGTAAATTGTGAGTCCAAGTTTTAACTTTTACAGTGAGAACTGCCAGCTCTTTATCTAATCTCCCATAATAATGTATCTTTAAGAAAACAAAATCAAAATAGTAACGCTAGCTAATGTCCTGTCTTGAATTCAGTCAAATTTTAAAAAAGGCCAACCAATAATTTTAGCGGGCAGTATAATGGGGCTCATGTTCCTGAAGCAACGACTGTGAGTTTTACAACATCTAGACGTTGCTAGACTGGTCTGCAATTCCCGAACAGATACGTTATCTCCCTTTAACGCAGGCACGTGAACAATAGCGGCCAAGCAGTGTTTGTTACCCAAAATACACTCAAATCAAACATGGCGATCTCCATGGAAACCTTGACATTGAACGAACCTTGAACTTTGCAACTCGATTATCACAGGTAGACACTTTAACTGGAAAGCGTAAGACTTGGTATTCGCGATGGTCAGTAGCCAATCGAAATTAGTGCCTAAATAAGCAGAGTATTACGTGAAGGGTTTGGTGTTCGGAGTTAAAGCGAGATCAAGCCGACTATTGAAGATGACTGGCATTGGGCTTGTTAAGTAGCGAAGCAGCATAGGTAGATGACATTTCATGTCAACCTATTTTTGCCAGTACTAACGAAATTGAATCATGTTTGGTCTGATATTCCTATTAGAGATTTATCGTTCGCAATATTGTAGTTTGCAAGTGATTCCTTTGCACTAAAATGTCGCATAGAGACTTTGATAATAAAGGAAGCCATATTTGAACAAACAACTTACGGACTACAAACAGGTAAAACATAGGCTGAATCAAATATAACACCTTCATTAGCTAATTGATCTATATTAGGTGTTATCATGTCAGGATTTCTAAAACCCACATCGTTCCATCCTGTATTAAAAAATAACGCATGTTAGTTAATGTGTCTATTATAAGGTGTTATCATTCAAAAAGCTGTATCATTTCTAAATCTAGATCGGCATTTCGCTCTATAGACGCTTTTCGGGTTGTATTGGTATTTAATGAACTTAATCTTACAAACCAGAAAACTATAGGTAAATACATCAAGAACGGAATTGACTATGCCACCGTAAAGTGTGATTCCTTCAGTTCATATCCATTTTGTTTAGAGAATTAAAATCTTCATCCAGTTTCTGTATGTTATTGTTAAAGCAATTGCTAAATTATAAAAAATAGTTGATCAATTTTATTTTCAAGAGATGTTATTTTCAAACTTGTTCATCATGATATTATTTGCGAATGGATATGCACACATGACCATAGTGATCTGAGTTTTATAATTTTCTTTGATCTTTTGATGAAGGCTCTGAAGATTTAAACGACTTTGAAGATCTAAGTCCGAAACACAGAATTTTATGGATTTTTATACATTAGACCTATTTGTATATAGGCATACAGTTTAGACCACATTGAAGCCGCTGGCGAGAATACAATTGATGGTTGTTGGTCGTATGTATGGGTAATATAAATTAGCCCATTTGCAGATTTCAAAGTTGGTGGATGATAGTCAAGATAGATTTAAGTTCTTACCTAAATCATCGGCTACTATGAACAGAATATGTGGTTGCTTAGCACTCAAACTTGTTTGAAAAAAGCAGAGAAATGTGATAAGTACAAACGTAGTCGACATTTTGGTTGATTGTTTGTGTTGTTATCAATTTTTATAACCTTGTCCTGATTAACAAGAAATGAAATTGAAGTCCTCACCAACTTTATCTATAAACTCGGATGAGCACATTATCTTATCATCGTATCTTATTCAACTCAACTATAACATAAATCATATAAATACATGTAATTAGATCAGGGAAAACTGGGGCCATTACTGAAAATTGAATCATTACGTGAATATATTAAAATTTTCCTCTTTACGAGAATTATTTTTCATTTGATAAACTATTAGCAGTGTCAATTAAATCTACATCTTGAATTTCTGCTTCAAGTCAAATTACATTTACACCCGATTAAATTTTGTGGCCAGTTTCTTTTTCATCATTAAGTTTGGTCTTATCCGAAGAATGTTTGGCACACTAGTTCGTGTATGTCTTTTTTTTATTTACAAATCTTCATTTTAACAAGTACGCGCGTTCTGTGGGCCAGGGACCAAATATAGCGTCATCACAGCCACCTTAGTCAATCCATACGCACTTGTCCAAAGAACAACATGCCAAGTTTCGTGTAAATTGTACTTGAATCCAAATCTCCTAATCACGCGCACTAATTATTTAGAGGAGGGTGATTATGTACGAACAAAAGTAAACGGAAACATTTTTATATCTCATTTTAATGAATCAGGGTTGTAAAGCTATATACGGGTAATAAAATATATCAAGTTAATTAATATTGGTAATATAGTATTTACATTTACCACACCCTGGAAACATGATCACAATAATACCTTTAATAATTTTCTGTTCCCTGTGGACCTACATAAACATACGGCTTTTAACATCAGAAGCAAAAGTTCTGAGCAAATACCTGTTGTTAGTCACATTTATCTGCCTGTAAAGCCAATTCTTTTAAATTAGAAGGTTTAGATTCGTTTATGGTCTGTACGTGCTGATGATGAAGATTTTTTCGCTGAAAAGTCACGATGTCGCCTAGTTTTCAGGGACAACTTTACGCAAATAATTTTTCATGGAGAATTTCTTTGAAGTGGCTAAAACTTCTTCATTTCAAAACTGCATCCCTGCTAATCCATGCAGAATTGGTTTATGTGTTTGTCTGTGTAGGTGTAGCTGTTTGTGTGCGTGGAAGGGGCGGGCTGTAACCCATTTGACATAGTGTTGAACTGGTGGAAAATTAGCTACTCTAGCTAATACCAGAGCCCTTAGTTTACGTTCAATACCCTTTCCTGTGTTATGGTATAAAAGATTTGTATGAAGAGATGGTAAAAAAAAATGATCTTTGTAAAAAAAAAAATATGTCACCATAAGTTATCGGCTTTAACAAAAATGAGTCCAACACTTACCCTAAGGGGGATAAACATATCTCTTTGAAGTCAGATTTTATATCACAGTGCCGAGATAATTACTTAGAGGCTTGCATCTATCAAATCAAATACTGTTAACTGATCGATAGTGTTTATTATTTTGTATATACTTAATGAATTCTAAACCATCAAATTAAAAGCTAAATGATGTCGACTTTAACAAGACAGTGACATGAGGGCAGGATAAATACCTCATTATTCAAGGGAATAAATATTAAAATACAATAGAATACTTTACAGGATAAAATATATATGAATTAATAAACTAATGAACTAATTAGTTGGGAGCTAAAGTAATCGTATATGCAACAATGTCCAAAGTTCCATACACAATAAGGTTACGTTTTGGAGAATTAAACTTTATGACTCTATTCTTTGCAACCTTAAAGAAAAAGACGAAAATGAGTCTAAGAGTACATATTAATGTAATATGAATGTTTATAAAGTGATTTATATTAAAATTATCGTGAATTCTAACTAATTATGTTCGATGAAATACGCGAATAATCCAAATTGAACGACAGTCGTTTTACATCTGCTTAGTAAATTCTACAGGCTTTTTATTATTATTTTGTCGTTTGCGAATCAGTCATTACTAATTTTTTCCGCGTCGTCTTGCAGGATATTTTTTTTTCTTTGTTCGATGCAAAGTTGAGCGAAGTTATGAATATTTGAAGTTTTTACAAGACGTGGGCATAATTGGCAGATAGGAACTAAACACACAGTACATATTTCTAATTATCAAGTTCCATTATCATGATTAGGAACGTAATTTCTATAGTCTCCGTTATGGTAGACCAAACAGCTCTTTATTCAGTGTTCTTAATTCTTATTTCTTCATTTGTTGTCGTATTTCGACATTTGTATACTAAAATGAACATTTGTAGACTAAAATGAACATTTGTAGACTAAAATGAACATTTGTAGACTAAAATGAACATTTGTAGACTAAAATCAATATTTGTTTTACAAATCAGACATTTGTCATATCAGATTTGTAAAATGTATTTTAATATAAAGATAAAATTTATTTTAGAAAATCAAAAATTAGCCTACATTTACATTTCCTCAGAGAAATACAACGAAAAACAAATCTGGAACAACAAATTTCCAAATACAAATCTTGCAAAACATTTCCCCCAAAACACTTCTTCTATAACATTTCTCCAAAAACATTTCTCGAAATCCATCGAACTGGAAAACTATGATGACCTGAGCGGAAATCAACCTTGCTTGCAATAAGTCACCATACAATAAAGGAGAATCGAGCAAGCACATATACAGTAAGAAAAATCGCTCGATGACCACGACTTTAGTGAAAACACGTGCGTAGTATGGCTAATCAGGCCGGCCTTCGAGAAAGAAAATAAATTGAAAGTAGTCTATTTTCAGAAATTAGGTTTTGTCTGATAGCGACATATTTCTTTGCTCAAACGAAAGGGTGTTTTATCTCTTATAAATCATGTAATCATGAATGTACCAGTACAGGGAATAAGTAATATATTGAAAGAGGGATAAAGAAATAAATACTTTCCGCTCATTCAATACACGAGAACCCGTATTTTAACTTTTAAATACCCCCCCCCCCCCAACAAACACACACACACACACACACACTAACTTAATAGTATTTAGCGTAACTCAACTGTGATACCCTTTTCAAGCTATGTAAATGAAATGAAATGAAATGAAAAGGGGTTTAACGTCCTACTCTTCTGCACCTAACCTGGGCTAATTGAAGACGGGCATACGCCATACAGTGTGCTATGAGGGAAATTTTGCCCGGGCTTCAAGCTATGTAAATTTAATATATACTATTCAAAAAAAAGTAGGGGATATTTGATTTTGGGGGCATAATACTAAAATATGCAAATGACTACGAAAAAAGTCACTGTAGAACCTAACAGAAGAAACATTTCCAGTTACATGTGACGCCCAAACGCACCAATATCTACCGCATTGAATGCAGGTGATGCTTGGGATCATCATGGGGGTCCAACCCAAGATTTGCACGACTCTGACTTTGAATGTTACAGTCATTGTGGCATTGAATTCCAGGGTGGAAACATCAGTTTAATTGTTTTAGTGACCAGAAAACAAATTTTGATATGCGTCGGCTTACCCAAAATGAAAGGTTACGTGCCCTTGGCATGCTACAGATCGGCACAACACAGGCGGTTGTGGCGCGGACGATGAATGTTTCTCAGTCTGTCATAAGCAGGCTATGGTCCAGATACCGTGATACACAATCTGTACAGGACAGACCACGCTCAGGTCGACCAAGGGCGACCACTCAAGCCCAGGATCGATTTATCCGTACCTTGGCCTTGAGAAATCGTGTCATCACAGCAAATCAGATCAGCGCTCGTCTTTAAACAGACACTGGTGTGAGAGTGAGTGGCCAGACGATTCTGAATCGACTGCATAGGGGTCACCTTCGCGCCCGACGTCCTCGCGTGATCCCTTGTTTGAGAGATCATCACATTTAGGCAAGACGTCGTTGGTGTAGGGATCCTCAACACTGGGATAATCGACGCTGGAGCAATGTGATGTTTTCAGATGAGTCAAGGTTCACTGTTGATTTTTTGGACAGACGTAGGAGGGTGTGGCGTCGTCGAAACGAGCGCTTCCAAGACGTTAACGTCATCAGACATGGTCGATTTGGGGGTGGTTCTGTTATGACGTGGGGAGGCATCACTGTTGCTGGAAGAACGGCTTTACATGTTGTTGCAGGGCGTGTTACAGGCCAGTACTACCGGGACAACATCTTGGCAGTCCATGTTGTGCCGCACGCACGACGTCATGGCCGCCGTTTCATCTTCCAGGATGACAACGCAAGATGTCACAGGGCCAGGATCTTTACAGGTTACCTCC